ATTTCTATTGAAAAGGGAAAAAAGCCTTATCAGCTTAAGTTTTAAATTACAGAAGCTGCTTTTAAGAGCAGAAAATTTCAGATGTATAGAATTTTCGTGAATTGTCAAAGTTTACCTAGTAATTTGATTCTAATGCTTGTGTCTGTGAAATTGATATTTGAAACAGAGTTGATGTGGTGGTCACTTGATGTGAAATACTGTGAATTGAGTCCTTCAGGAGAATGGTCCACAGGAATGCTGCCCAAGATGACCAGGTTCTAAAGGGGTTATTTGAATTGCTATAGCACTTTGGAGTCATATTTGTCTAGGAAGACCTGGCTATATGATAAGTTACCAGCCCCAAAGTTCTTAAATCCAGGTAAATAACAGAAATGAATTGGTATTAATTCTCCAGGGTGTTAATTCCCCATTTCTTGAGAAAAAAGAACAGAAAATCAGAGGAAGGGTAGAAATGAGACCTCCAGGAAGGGAAAAAGAATTAGTTGAGACCTTTAGTAATAGTAGTAGTAAAGCACTAAATATGCTGTGAAGCAAGTATCTAACTTTTTTTTTAAGAAAGTGGTTGAATTTAAAAGAATTTTAATCTGAACTATTTATCCATTCAATATCCACAGTCAGAATATGAGTATTTCTATGGACTCAGTCTAACGGGTCAGTAGAGAGACCAGGATTGTTTTCTGATGGGAAGACTATGGAGATTGTGCTGAAGGCATTGTGAAGGGTTTGTGAGCAGGAAAGGAGCATCATGTATGTTTCGGGCTCTGGGCTGATGACTGGTTCCCTCCACCTTCTTTTGTGCGCCTCTGCCTAAGATTCTCAGCATATGGAGACACTCACCCTCCCACTCATGAAGTACAGTTCCACCCACTCCTTTATCTGACTTTAGAAATTATTGATGGAAAATAAGCAGTCATTTTCATGATCATTCAAGAGAAGTAAGGGAGGCAGAGCATGGAGTAATCTTCATTTCTGGTCTGCTGCAAAAGAAGGCAGCACTACATTCTGACAAAGTGCTGAGGAGTTGATTCAGTTTTTCCACTCAGAATCCCTCATGCAGGCATCTGTAAAATAGCTTATTGCTTTTTAACCTGTGAATAAAAACTGTTTAGTAACTCCTTACCTGGGCCTGTTTGGTACCAATAATGCCTCTGTGCAAGGTACTGTTGATTCCATTAACTTTTTATGTTTCCATCATGACAGTTTAAGGCGTTTCTTCAAATAGTAAGCAGGAAAGAGCAGTAAATGGTCAATCAAGATAATACCTTACTCCTGTTCAGATCACACATACATGATATGGACAATGTAAAATGTTTTTTTCCCCATGATTTCATAGCAGAGGAAAAGAACGGTGGCTGTTTCAAACTTAGCCTAATTCTATGTCAGTATGACAGAATCTTTTAAACCAATTTTGTTTATATACTGAAGCTAATTTACACAGGTAAATCCCAGAGATCAAATCTCTACAATCTGTAATACTAATTTCCAAACACTGAAGAACCATGATATTTGTTTCCAATATTTTATATTTAAATGGAGTTTAACCTCTTAATTTATGTGTATGGGTCTAACATTGTGGCAATTCAATCAAAGACATCTCTGCCACTACCAATGTTAATAAAGGATAAAAAGTATAAAAACGGATTAAAAAAAAAAGCTATTGTCTATGCCACGCATGATTCTGGTTAATTCCTTACCTATGCATCTAGTTGGAGGTTCATAATTACCTATAAGAACCTCTAAGTTTGGGGTTTTTTTTTAAATTCAAATTTACATTAGAATCCATCTAATTAGGCACAAAATTTGCAGTTATTGATGGGCAGCTGAAAGATCAGTCTCCAGTCTTAATATTTTCAGAAGTAATGAAATAACTTTAAAATGACTGAATCTTTTTCTAGTTTCCTAAGTAACCTGGACAATGTCAGAAAGTTTGTTAAATATTGCAGAAGAGCATATAACCCAAAATCTCTTTTTTTTTTTTCTCATATACAGTGTATGAAGTGCTCTAATTGAATGGAATAATTCCAGAACACCTCATGTGGATTATAGAATGTCCTAGAGCACTTGAGTGACTAGTGGCATCACTGAGTAATACATTAAGTTAACATTGAAGAATAACCTAATTGCATCATTTCTGTGACTGCTCTGCTACTGACAGGTTAGCACACTGGGTTGTAAAGTACATATATGTATTTCCAAAATTGTATTTTAAGATTTGATAAAAATGTTTTGCTAAGAATACAAGAGATTTCATTTTCTTGGCAATGTGGTTTCCTGTGTCCACGATTCATACCTGAGAAACCTACGTGACAACATTCACCTAATCATTTAATCCCCACATTTTCATTCAAGTACAAATGCTTTCAAGTTAAACTCTTGTGCTGTGTTTGCTCTTGTTTTCAACAGAAGAGTTTAGAATCACTGTCTGACAAGCATAAAGTCCAGACCATGTAACTTTCTTTCAAGAGAAGATAGGACGTTTGTTATATAGAGGAGTGGTGGACAAGTACTTTTCTAATATCTAATGTTAATCTTCCTATATGCAGAATTACAACAGAGGTGTTACATAGTTGGGTAAAGAAAGTCAATTAGTGCACTATAGTGTCTTATTTTAGCCAGGATCCACCCTAGGAAAGAGTTTCAGAACCTTTGTTCCTGATGCAAGTTCTTATATTACAAATTCTAAAGCAGCTTTGCCTCCTTGGGCTGAAGGACTAGGGCAAAGAAAGTGTACTTTGAAATAGGTATTTCTCCTTACCCTGATCTAAAAACCTCTCTTATTGTGCAACAGGAAAATAAAATGTGAGGTAAGGATACAAAACGCTAACTAGAAATATAGACAAACAGTGGGATTTAAAGAGCACCAACCATCCTGGTACCATGCATACACATTGCATACTAATAACTGATTCACTTAGCTGTGAATGAGGTGCATTACAATTGTCCACAACCCACTAGCAACCTACAATAAGATTTAGGGCCTTTACATCCACACACTTGAAGTCAGTTTATTTACTTACACCAGTCTGAATTTCAGCCATAGAAAGATGATTTTGATTCTCAAAGAAATTACAGCAGCTGAGGTAAAGGTTCACACTTTCTCTGGCACACAGATAGTCAAAGAAAGAGCTGTTGTTCCATATGAAGAAGTTCTATAGTTTAAGTAATTTTTGTGTGTCAAATGCACACAAATTGTATGCTTACTGGTGGAACAAACAAAAAGTGAGATCTTACTTTGTAAGGGAAAAGGACTCAACAGTGGCTGTAGCGCAGCAGAATTAGGTAATTCAGGCCCCCCCAGGAATAAAATCAATTATTATCCCTTGGAAAAAGTAGTCAGCTGAGAAGCTGAATTCTGCTCACTACAGCAAGTATATATTTAACTTCACTGAACTGCCTAGAGGTACATTAATGAATCCATCTGAAGAACTCAATTAGGTCTTCCTGTCTAGACTTGAGAAGTAAATAAATATTACCTAATGTATGGTATTCAATAAAAGGAAGACAATCACATTTATACGCATTTGCTGCAAGATGAAGTCAGCCAGTGACACCTTTTTTGCTTACTATTTTGGGTTGACATCTGTACTTTGTTTAGTCTGCACTTTATTACATTGTCTGCTTGCTCCTTGCATTCAGCTGCTCAGATTGAAACACTGGTGGCAATTGAGGTCTCAGAACAGACCTCATTCAGTTATATGAAGATTATTCCAAATAAGCAATTGAACTGCATCAGAATAGTTGCTTGAAGACTGCTGTGTGTCTATGTAGGTCCAGGTGCTATGTAACATCTAGAGAAACAAGCCCATCCCACAAGTATATGTCCCTCCCAGCACTGATTCATGAGTCCTCGGTAATCCCATCTATTTGCACAGTGTAACTGACAAATGGTGTTGCCTTCAGCTTAGGAAAGCAATTGCTCTTAGAAGTGTACATTTATAAGCAGTGGGATTGCACTAAGCAGCAGGCCATCCTTATGCTGTCCTTAGCTGGTTTAGTCTACTTTACATATGGCATACCATAAATGGTACTAGAAGTGTTACTTTACTGTCTAATGTTACCAAGTTGGTAGACTAAGCTCAAAGCTTATACTAAGTCAGCCTTTAGTCTTCTCATCATGATTTTACTTTACTGGGGTCATCATTTAGCCAAGGGCAGAAAGACTCACAAAAAAAAGTACAATAGAGGGCAGTGATGGGTATGAACAATTCACTCTATCACTTAGGTGTTAGGATACCCTTGGAGAAGAGCAATGCTTCCACAGCAAGTAAGAGGAAGAACCTTATATTATCATAGCTACTGTCCACCAATGATCACCCACAAGAGCAAGCTCTTTTCAGTCATTCTGAAAGATCAATTCTGGGATGCAATATCTTGAAAAGATTCATATTTTTGGTTTTAGTCCCTAGGACAATAACCTAGTGTCAAGGCCTACATCATTACTCTGCAAGCTCCACAAGCAGTTGCTTTATGGTTGCTGCTATAATTAGCATGTGTGTAGACATGGATGAACTGCTCAGTATTAGAGCCTATCATTCATATCTTGACCTGTAGACTTCATTAAAATGCCATAAGGAAAGCAGACCTGCAAGATTTTTGGTAATGCAAAGCAAAGCATGTAAATTGCACTGTAAAAGGAAGGGAGAAGGATGCTTCAGATTTCCAAACTCTTTATTGCCAAGAAGTTTATATTTAAAATACCAAGGTTCAAAAAAAACCAAAAACAAAACCAAAACCATTGTGTAATAAATACTTCACTTTAGGCTGTAATAAATAAAAAATTATTAACAAGGAATGCACTTTGCCAGCCACAAGTGGGGGTATTTTTGAAAAATAAGAAAAAAGTATGGCCATAGTTCACAGTTAAACAGCCAGAAGCTGCTTATTACAGCTATTCCACAACAACGGAGCTATCCCCTTCCCTCCCTTTCCAGATGCATATTCACAGTTTAACTCCATCAGAAATGCTCTCTTACAGAGCAAACACACTCTGCTCAAAGTTCAAGTCAAAAAAATCTTTAACACACACATGAAGCAAGGAAAACTATGGTCCGAAGAACTCCTTGTCACATCATTTTAGTCCAACAGTAGGCTTAGGCTTCTGTTTAATAGATGTGTGCCCAGCACACTAGGACAGTCAAGTTTTCGTACCACCACACATCCATCATCAACATAATAGTTGCTCCAATATCCCCACTGTAGATTTCACAGTGAACAAGAGGGTCCATTTGGTCTAATGGTCAGTCCCTTCAGTTACATCGCTGCAGCAGCATATTCAGAGCATATTCCATTCTGTGTTTTAGTTCCAGAGAGCATCCAGAAACCAGAAGAGTTGTCAGACGAAATGTTGTGGATATCCGCTCTTCATTGATGTAGGTAAGGAGATATTCCTCACTCTGATTGCAAATTATTATTTTTGTGTGATCATGATAGAAGTTCACCTGCAAAAGAGAAGCAAGTTCCTGTTTGTACACATTCTCCTCTAACACTTATCTAGTTTTATCACAAGAAGTATTTCAGAAACATTTTTTTCCTATGGTGATGCTACAAAACTTACTTGAAATGTGCCATTATTGAAGAGCATCATTAATGCTTTATCAGATTTAAGCCATTGCAGGAGGTAAAGCCTGGGCCTGCATACATCTGTTAGGCTAGGCAAATCTCCTCCCTAGGAAAGAGAAGAGACTACGTTAAGCACTCAGTTCCTATTTACTGCTTTTTTACAGCTCAAGATCCAGAAGATGCTGAACTTACATCCATGAGGTTCTCTTCCATGTAGTGAGAGAAATACTTCAGTACAGTTACTTGGCTAATAAACTGTTCAGGAGCCTCTGTGGCTGCAAAGACAGAGCACTGGCCTAGCTCAGCATAGTAGTGAACTGTTCTGTAAGAGGAGAAAGAAAGTAAGGAGACAAAAGCATTTCATATTTAAACTGTCTTCGTGAGTTGTCAGTTTTGTAATTATTCTTACTTTTTATCTGGCAGAAGGCTCATATGCGCCCCATTGTTGAAAAGGACACCAACAGTGTGATCTGACAGCTGGTACCCAAAGCCGTACTTGTTAGAATAGTCCACCCATTTTGTAACCCACTGGAAGGATGCTGTCAGCTGTTCTTTGGGAATGCTGTCTGCTTCTGGCATGTTCTCCAGACATCCTCGCAATACCCTTGCAACTGTATCAGCAACACTTCCCATGGTACTGTCTTCCAGGCCTGAAAGAGAAACACTATTAGACTGATGAGCACACAGAGACCACGCTTTAATTCTAAACCTTTCCATTATCTAGACTGTAATTTTAAGAGGTTTTGCTGTTATGGCTTTCCAGTTTTAATTCTTCCAAAATATTGGCTGTAAAATTTAAAGCATCAAAAACAGGAGGTGGGCAGGATAGCAGCTGTTTGTTTCAAGCTTCTAGATCTGAGACAAGAAGAAAGTGAAGGTGGGATTTAGAATTAGAGATTACATTTTGCTGCACTTACATTCACTGCTACTGCTGCAGCTTCCCAAAGTTCCTCTGACTATCATCCGAATAGAGTCTCCAATCTGCTTAGTTTCTGGTAATGCTCCCTGCTTTGCTATTGTTGTGTTAAGAGGCTGTATCTCCTAGAAGAGATGTCACACATGTAAACATCAAACATAACACAAGCCAAGGCTTATACACAAGTTTTGCATGGCTCTCCTGTTCCTCAACAAATGATAAACTCTAGGAAAATTGGTATAAGTGTTTCTAGCAACAACAAAGAGATGGTGTTAGGCTGAGCCTAAAGAAGCACACCAGGTCTTTCCATTCTTTTGATCTTCAATTTGCATTTTGCATGCTGTTAATCAGTTCTCTGCTTTCCTACCCAAGCAAGAAGACAGCTGTATGCACATCTGAACACCAAATGGTAAGAGTTATATCTCAGCAATTTATTCTTGAGGAATAGTTAATTATGAACTGAAACGCTGTATTTGGAATATTAGGAAATAGCATCTGGCAGACAACTTACCACACAGAAGACAATGGAGTCTAGGCAGATACTGTAATTACTCAAAAGCCAAAATTGACAGTCGCCCCACAAAGGCTACCATACCTTGGTGAAGCTTTGTTAAGCCCTCTTTAAAGCAGCTCTGCTAATCATTTAAGCTTGATTATGATGTGTACAGGCCCAACTCTGATATCCAAGTCAAATATAATTTAGTTATAGATACCCCACCCAACTGTGATTGGATTTGAATTGAACACCACTTGCATTTACCTCATCTGTTCTGTGTTTGTGAGGCTGTTGGGTTATCGAAGTCTTCTTCAAATCATGTCTGAGCTTGTAGATTTCTTCATCTTCTTTAGCTAGTCTGTCTGTAATACAGGAAAAAATACTTAACACTGCATCTGGAAGTGCCATTCAGTTACAGAAAGCCTAACAAGTTAGCTGCAGAAAGCACATTGTCTTCCTCCAGTAGTTTCCTCTAAATGAGCCATAGTCGCTCAGAAAAGCGGCACCATTATACACTGATCACTAAGAGACTAAACTTAAATAGACATCACAGACTAACAGATGGCCAATACAGATTGTCAGTGTGCCATAACAAGCCTTTACTTATGTAAGTTGGTCTAAGTTGCAGGCTACCATCTACACTTTAAAGAGATCAAAACTAACCCAGGGAAGCTCTGAGACAAATACAAGCGCTTCATTGCTATCTCTTATCTGCACATTGCTAGCATAACATTGATAGCACAGAAATTAATTTCAAGTGTAGCTACAATCCACTTACTATGGGTGTTGAAGTATCTGGCTTTGTCCTTTTTACCACCAAAGAGAGCAGCAGCTGCTTTTTTGAAGAAATTTTTAGCAGGACTTGACAAATGGAAATCAGGAACAGTGTGACAACAGCTAGCAGAAAGTCTATCAGGTGTAAAGCCCTGTGGAAATTAGATTTGAAAAATAATTCTTAGACCTCAGTGTCATTTTAGGGTGGACATTTTTTCAGCCAGAACTCTAGACAGTACAAACCTGTAAGAAAAAATCATGCCGAATTATTTCATCTAAACTGGGCCGATCTTCAGGATTTTTTGACAACATGCTAGCTATTAAGTGTTTTGCAGGTGCCAAGAGAGATGAAGGCAGGTTGTATCTTGCTTCCCTTATGCATCTGTATGTTTCTTTAAGATTTGTGGTCTCAAACGGGGGTCTTCCCAATAGCATTGTATACCTGTTTAAAAGCAAAGGAAAACAATTTTATTTATTTTACACAGCCATGATACTTATCTACAACTACTGAATAGGCTTTGTCTGCCTCCTAACACAGAGTAGGATTTCTGCACTCAGGCTATACATGTATAAAAGGCAGCAAACTAATGCAGTACTGCATCCCCTTTGAACTCTTAAAAGCCTAAGCCAGGGAGAGAAAGATTTCATTTCAAAGGTAGTGAAGTACTTACATTACACAGCCTAAGGCCCAAATGTCAGATTCACAGCCATGCCCTTGTTTGTTGAGGACTTCTGGAGAAAGGTAATTTGGTGTGCCACATATTGTTCTGCAAATCAAAGAGGCCACAGAGCTGGTTAGCATTTCATATAGGAAGAGGAGATAAGCTATTTTTCATAGGGCAGGTTTTTCTCTCAAGTTTGGACAAGATGTTATAGACTCCTGCAGAGGAGCTGTATGACTGTTAATAGTGTGGACATGTTTTGTGGTATCTTCATGATACAGGAACAGCAGACTCGTATCTACACTATTCATCAGTCAGGTACTCTGCCTCTAGCATTTGCTGTTATTCAAATGCTCAGAGAAAAGCTGAAGTCAAAGCATGGCAGTCTGTTATCCAGAAGGGGAAGTCTTGATCCTAGAAGCAATTAGCTTCTGCTATGGAACAGGATTTCTCATTTCTAAATTAATCTGGCTTCATTTTCTACTAGACTTTGCATTTTTTGATGCTCCTACCTCCTCCTGTGCTCCAGTGGTTCCAGTCTTGCTGCCAAGCCAAAGTCACCCAGTTTCAGTTCCATGTTCTCATTAATGAAGAAGTTACCTAGGCAGAGAGAGAAATTCCAGTTAGTCTTTTTCTTGCAAGACAGGAAT